CTTATTTATGTGCAAACCAGAAAGACCTACTAATATTTTCGTTTATAGACAAAACAAAATGAAAAGAGCCAGTACCCCTCTATGGATGTGTCGTTTGTTTTCAATGTGAGCAAGGAGGTGTTATTTTAAATTATCCACCTTATTTCAGTAGAATATGTAGTGTCTACAGTGTTACAAGTCATTTATAAACATGTATACCCATGTTAGAATACTATTAAAGCTGAAGTTAACAATTATATACAAACTTTAGGATGTTTTACCTCATTAAAAAGAAAATTAAAAAAATGTGATAGCATAAGACATCACAACAATAAAATTGTGTTGTTTAGTGGTCAATATAAACATAATATTTATATTATTTTTTAACCTAATATATTTTCTAGTAATACCTACTTATTTAACAACTGTTTGATTATTTCATGTTAGATCAGTTACAGTCTAACATACCAGTTACGTTAAATCATGTATATCAAATGAAATTTGTAGACTTTTTAATTATTTTATAAAATATTTTGATAAAATCTCGGAATTACCCCAAGTCCATTTGCTTTCTTTATTGTTTAATTATTGTAAAATGGATGAAACAAAATGTTACTAGATTTTGGAAGGTCGTAGACTAATTACATCATGTTATTATGTCAGGTTATAGTTATCAAAATAATTTTGAATTTGTCATTTTATTTAAAATTTGTATATTTTGATATTTCAAAAGTTTTATAAGTATTCAACAAAATGATGAAACGATTTATTGATCAATCAAAAACTTTAATCCTAAACGTAGCTTCCTATTTTATGAGTCACAAATATATTTGCGAGGCATTAAATATTTCGCAAAAAACTTAGTAAACCAACAAATTCTGATACAGAGTACCTATGTGAAAATATTGTATAAAAAAGTAAGACAAAGTAAAACAAAAGTCAATTCTTTAATATTAAGCATCTTTCTGTTTCAGACGATGAAACAGAAAGATGCGGTTTCTGTTATTTTAAAAATATTTTATTTTGTTTGTAATCGACACCATGTTTTATTAATTTATGACTGCATCCGAAGATGGAAAAGTTTTCCGAAACATATGTAGTGTGCTAAACAATTGAAAATTATAAAAAAACAAAGACCAAATAAACCAAGGAAATTTTTATTTATATAAAAAAAATTGTTTGGTGCTACACCTCATTCAATGCACTAAATAACAATTATATAAATATCTCCATATTACCTTTACAACAAAATTAATTTAGTAAAGTAGCACCCTAAAATATCTAATTTTTATTTAAGTTTTTTATTTATTTGGGATAATAGTATGTGGTGCGTTGGATTAGTAATAAAATTAGCATTCATATGGGTGCCACACTTTGGATTACATTATACTTTATTTTCCCCCAAGAGGGCACTAAAATCAAAGTCTAGTATATTAATTTGAAAACCATTGTAAAGAGAATTAAACGCCCTTTTAAACAATGTGCCACCAGATCGCCATTCCCTATTAAAATTTTAAGGGTTGTTGGGGTTATTGAGCAAAGGGATGAAATGATACGATGATGGTTTTTATATCAAAAGATGTTCCGTTGTGACCAAAATTAACCTGTTAAAACGATTTTCCAAAAATCTAGTTTTCTATCCGAAAATACCTTGTGGCCACACTTTTTTGCTACCCTGTATATTAAGTCTATATCAAAAAAAATGTTATTTATAATATTTTTTCTTCAATTTTACATTTAGCACATTGTAACGTGGTCTCCTCTTGCTTTCATAACATAAAATATGGTTATGTTTCCTTTACAGTTTACAGTATCAATTAGGTACATAATTTCTGCCGTGCAATGGTAAAAGCTAGTAAATCACAATTAATTTGTTTCGTGGAAAATATGATTTTTTTATATTTCTTTGCTTGGCACAACTACTCAAAATAAAAATACGCATGAACTCGACACAAGATCAAAACTATATAATTTTTTCTCCTCTTCATAAAGAAAAAATAATTTACACTCATTACCGCGATAAAGAGACATGCTATGTTTTGACATGGGAAAAATTAAATAAATTTTATTATCCCTTAAGGTCCATTCTCACTATACGTCAAGCCATGATCAAGTCACGGTCCAATCAAAAATGATTTTAATGCTTTTAAATGAGATTTCTATTAAACCGTTCACACATGCCGGTCACAGATCAAGCAAGGCAGGGTCAAATCAAGGGCCGATCATTATAAACAATATTTGACCGGACCGTCACTGTCCGTTAATGCGCAGACCGTCTAGTGTGGATGCTCAACGACCAACTAGTCAGACAAAAAAGCGGGCTGTCGGCAGTATCCAAAGAGATAAAGTGATTACTCTATATGTTTAGATTTTCTTTAAAGATACTGAAAGTTTTTTAGCTGAGGAAATTGATTCCCTAAATATGGTACCATTTTTTCATCTTTAATTGTCAAAAATATGTTCTGAAATTCTTCAATTTTCATTCTATAATAAACAAAAAAAAATATTTCATCATCCATAAGTTTTTCATGTAACGTAAAAAATTCGGCTTCGATTTTTCTTTTTAGCATTGGATGTAACAAAAATTTTCTTTTTCTTTTATTTTTTATATTTTGTTGCTGTTCTTCCGCATCCAAAATAAGTGGGATTAATGAAGTTGAAAACATTTTTTAAGGTCGCGGATCGCGATGCTAAAAAATACTCTGAAAAAAACACTCATGCACTATTGTCTGCTGTACGTTGGAAAAACTGGTCGAATATGACGATGACATGACCCGATAGTGTGAATGGTTTCAAAAAGATTTGATCGTGACCGGACCCTGACCGGACCGTGACTTGACCGTGTCTTGTCCGGCTAATGTGGATAGACTTTTACAAACTATAGTAAAGAAGTATTGCTATGTTCTACTCTAGTTTTTTATACCTTTTTCTATATCTCAAAAATGAGATATTCTTTACATGCTATGTTTTTAAAGTAGATAGTGCCCTATTATCAATTATGAAAACATAGTAAATAAAGAGATGCTATGTTTCTCAAATTTAATAAAATTAACTCAAAAAGATACTAAATTTAAAGATAGCAAGTCTTACTTACTATCTATTCTAGTGTACAAAAGTAACATGCTATTTTTTGTATATGTTAAACTTATTGAAATATGCGACTTACTAGATTCTATGAATTCGTAAAACCATTATTTAAAGAGATAATTCAAATTTGAATCTAGCTGTGTCTAGAGAAGCACATAGTAAGTCTAGTTACAGCAAAACTTAAATAACATCAAAAAACTGACTTACTAGCTTTTACCATTGCACAACAGATTTGTTCTCTATCTTTTTTACATTCTGAGATTATCCTGGATTGTTACTGCTACCTGTTTTCCGTTTTTATATGTGTGCAACTTGTTCATGCATAGATAAAAATGTTGTATCAAAGGCACGTTGTTTTCTTTCTCTTTGGTAAAGTACTCCAACAAATTATCTATTTTCTTCTCTTATCGTTCACTCATAGACGTAGAAGAACGCGTTTATATGTATACGAAAAAGATAAGTGTAACGCATATTATTGCAGGTAGTATTCATAAAGAAAAAAGTTTCATCATATTTATAACATACGATGCAGGGATACCATTGTTCTAACTACAAGTTGTTAAAAAACTTACCAAGCTTCCAAAAGTAACGAGTCTTCAATAATATCCGTATCCCGCTCGCGACCAAATTAAAAGTAACATTACTAGTAGTTTGTGCAACAAGAGTGGATATGGATAATCTAGTCGAATTATTTTAGGTGATTAAGATAAAATAACTAATTTAAAAATAATTTATAATTTTTACTAATTTATAAAATAAAATAGACAAAAAAAAAAAAGAAAAAAGGTTTCGTTTCATTTGTCCTAATCCTAAATTTAAACCCGGGCCTTTCGCATGAAAAGCAAGTGCCCTGATCTCACCACTATCGAAACGATTAACATTTTTGCTTTAGTACTCGCAATTAAATTGATATATTTTTATTAAAATTAACGTATTATTTATAATTATTATAGACGAAATAAAAATTGAAATGCTTTTAATTATCGATTCTATACAAGAATAACTCATTTTAATGTATATTTAATCTTAACTAAAAAATATACTGACAATTAGTTTGACAGAATTGTCACTTATTTAAAATTTTAAAAATAATAGTAGTCGAGTGACCAAAATATAATCTGTCATTGGTGGATTTAATTTTTTTTCTATGTTTTCACTACCTAGAATGGATATGAAATATATTCGTTCAATTGAACGCATTAGCATACTTTTTCGTTTTGGTTGTCTGTGCGTAGATAAGCTATAACAAATACTGGTCTGCAGCCATTCGCCCAGTGTCCACGTTACAGCGAAGACAGTCCCTTGTTGATTCCATGCAACTGGAAATTGTAAAAGAGGGTTCAGTTGTAGATACAACCATTCCATTTTAGTTTCGTAAGAGTTCAAGGGGGAATTATCTCTTAAGGAGGAGGCAATCTAATGCAAGCCATTTCATTGTTCAGTCATGTTCTAATCCTCCAAGTCCCTCTCTGTCTTATTTGGCCTTTGAGGCTTAACTTGTCCGATTAAACCCCTAAAGATCAAACATGTGTGATGACTATGGCGAAGGCGCTTTCGATTACTTTCCAGAAAGAACGTGATGTTTCTAGTTTTGGCGAGAACGTTTTAGAGCACCACCACAATTTTAAATGTATATATAAATATTGGTGGAAGAACACGAAGCAGTCAGTCGTATACAAAAAGTTGTGAAGATAAATAGTGAACAGTTTAAAGACATTCGAAATATATATAAATTAGAATAGTATTGTTTTAAAATAAATGTGTTTAAATAAATTGTTAACAAATAAACTGTTGTTTAAAATAAACAAACGTAACAATAAATTTTACGAAAATGGCATTATGTATATATTAATTACCGCCCACAACAAAAGCTATATCCTATAACTAAACAAAATAACAAAAGGAATTCTTTAAATAAAATATTCAAAAAGAAGTGGTAAAATATATATTTTTTAAATAGTTATGTTTTCTTCGTTATTGCAAAAATAATCATTTAGGTCAAGGAAATATGTATATATCTTCATTATTGCTTACAGCTTTTATATTAGAATACACTTTGGATTGTAATAATTATAAACTGTGGTATATAATTCATCAGGAGTATAAATTCCTATTAATATTCCTCCATAACCTCCTGCCTTTAATGCATTTACTATAGCAGATGCACAATTATTGAACACTAAGTTGTATTCGCGGTTCTTGTTCTTTTTCCACCAAGATCTTATTTTGTCTTCATTTAATTTACCATCAGGAATGCCTAAAAGAAAAATAGTTCTGTTTCAAAGCAAATTTTACTTACAATCAACAGGGATTTTGTTACAAATAATGTTTAGCAATTTTTACATTATAAATTTAATCTCTATAAATACTGTTCCTATTTTGTTATGATCTTATTTCTAAAATGCATACACCCTAGGCAGATCTACTGATTCAGCCCTTCACCTGGCTGCTGGTCGGATAGAGAGGTCCATAGATAATGAGTCCGCCTTGGATCCTTTCATAAGCTGAAAGTGATTTTGACCAAACCACTTTACCCAAGATAATACACTACAGATAGTGTAAAAGACTTGGTTGTGTGGGGATGTTTACAGGGATGATTAGAGCATTCTTGGAAAAGCCTGCTAGACCTTTGAGTCATGATGTTGCATTAAAAGCAAATTTTGCCGTGATCAGTGAAATATTTTTTATTTCTTTTCTTGGAAACGAATGTTTTGAAAGTTATGAAACGACGTATCGGTTACTTAGTACATAATACTAGACATTTAATAATATTTATACCGATTGGTGTATTAAGCAGTTATTTTGGAGATTGTTCAACCAAAATCTTGGGTGTACTAGTTATATTTTTTGTTTTTTCTTTAATTTCTTAATGGTTTACCTTTTTAATAATATTAAGCAGTTAATTAAACTTGGCATTTGTAAAAGTTGAATCGAATATAAATTTGAATATATTATTATGTTAACCAAAATTGAAACACTTGTTTTTCTTACTAATTTATTTTGGTTCCACTAGAATGTCTTTACTTATTATTTTCTATGGAAAGTTAAATATTTTAATTCTTTATAATTAGTTAGTCTTTGTAATTCTTCTGACTTGCAGAAAATATGTTCGTTGTATATTTTAAACTAAAGCCAATTTACTGGCGCCCTACACTACTAATATTCCTGAAGAGTGTTCATTACCTGAAAAACTTGTAGACTAATCTGTAATAGAGTAATGAAGTTATATTGCCTTTATTAACTATTTAACTTCCCAGAGTAGTAGAACTTAAGCTTGAAGCTACTATTAGAAGTTAACTGCTACACTTTAGACACTCAAAGTGGTATCACTTATAGTATCACTACTTTATTAACTACAATACTTTATGGTGTAGGAGTGCTAGTACTCTAATCCTCCTACATGACTACACATAGCAGAGTTGGGTCGAATACTGAAATCCGGTATTCGAATACGAATCCTGAATACTGTATTCTAAATTGTGTTCGAATAATCAATATTCGAATACAAAGAAAAAAAAGTATTTGAATACCGCTGTATTCGAATACCTGGATTCATTTACATATGAATACTTTATGAATATTCCAACTACAAATAACATGTGCGCTCATAAAGCTTGATTATTATTTATGTAATTAATTTATAAAAATATAAAAAGAAATAAAAATCTATGTTAAATAAAACTTGAAATATCATTTTATGATACACAGTGTCACAGTGAGGTTAAATCAAATAACTGTTATATTAAAAACATTTGTTGATTTTTATTTCTTAAAGTTTTATTAAAAAATTATAAATAAAATGATAAAATAATGAAAAAGTTAAAATAAAATTCTTTGGTACACCGTCAGATAAAAACACAATTACCCTATACCCTACAACCTACTTACTTATACGCCTTATACGCCTCGGACCATAACTCCATAACGGTGCAATTTTCGAAAACTAACTTTAAATGATGGCTTTTTTGAATATACATAAAAACAGAATTTTACAAAATTATTGAAAATCGCACCGTTATGGAGTTATGGTCCGAGGCGTATCTCGTGGGACACCCTGTATAATAAATAAAACTTAAAATACATTCTTTGGTACATTCATTGGAGATGGGAACACAGTAAGGTAACACAATAGAATTAAAGGGAAGTTAAATAGAATTGCTTAGCAAAAGAAGCTATCCTTGAAAAATAATCTTAAATAATAAATAAATAAATAACTTAAAATAAATTCTTTTTGTTTTTAATAAAATATAATATACCATTCATAACGACGCACTAGTACTTGGATATCAGAAAGAAAACATCAATCAAAAAGCATTTCCTATCCCGTTTGCCTTCAACAAAACCAACATTTCAAAAAGATCGTCCCTTAAATTTTGACGTTTTGGCGTATTTACCATACCCGCAAAAGAAAACAATCGTTCGACTGAAGCAGACGACGGTAATATGGAGTTATATCTTAAAAATATTTGTTAAATTGAAGGGTAATCATTAAGCCTTTCCAAACCTAATCTTTTATCTTCAAGATATTGCAAAAGGTTAAGTTGAATTTTTCCTTTTAGTTTATCCCTATTATCCCGAGAAATTAAATCGCTATTTTTTTCCGGATTTTCCTCACATTCAAATTCGAAAAATGTAGTATCATTATTGGGCGTTGATTCTTCTCCATTAAAATCTGGTTTTTGAATATCTATTTGAAGTTCCACACCAGCATCAATAATAATATGTTTTAATACGCTTAAGTTCAGTTAAACGTAACACGTAACGCAATATTCATAGAAATAATCAAACAGTATTCGAAAACAGGATACGGATACCGGGATTCGAATACAAAGTGGGTATTCGAATACTAGGATTCAAAAATGGTATTCTGAATCCAAAATACCGAGTACTGACTAAAAAAGTATTCAGTTGAATACCGAATACAGAAAACACAAATGTATTCGAATAATATTCGAATACCAGCCAAATGTATTCTGAATAAGATTCAGAATACCGGGTATTCGAATACTACCCAACTCTGACACATAGGCCTTGTTACTGTTTACCAGCGCCCCTTTAGGAAGATCATTGTTAATTGGAACCGAACAGTGAATGGTCGGAATGGGGAATCCTACCTATCCATTAGAAATCCGGCCAACGGTGGGATTCAAACCCCGGACTCTTGGATTCGCAAGTCCAGACTCAATACTCAATAATAAAATTTATATAAGAACTGCTTAATAAATACCTAAGCTTTTATCAGCATGACGTCCATATGACTCTTCATCATCGTCATATGAATTGATTTGGCTTTTTTGGCTTCTTGCCTTAACAATATCTTCACTTGGCCAAAAACTGATATAAGTTTCATCTAAAAGTTCCATAGATATATGCCCAAATGTTTCACCAGAGTCAGCAGTTTTTCCTGGTGGAGACCACAAATAGATTGTGATCATTTTTAATTTACACTACTCAAAACTTTAGAAGTGTAATTTTGAACGACAACATTGGGAATAGTAGTAGAAACAATAAATAAATAATATAAATTTATAAAATAAAAAAATTATCTAAGATAAAACCTTTATCTAGGTATGATATTCATTTTTTACAAATTTAAATCCATAGATACCTGCTTAATCCTTCATAGACTTTGCAGTACCATACATTTGTTTCACTTGTTTATTTCATTAGACTCTAGGTATCTTTGTCGATTTTTCACAACCTTTTGACACGGTACGTCATAATAAACACTTTAGAAAAAGGTAGTTTCTATTATTTGGAAGCTGTTTGATATTTACTGTTGATTTTTCAATCTCAAAAACTCAACTGAAGTATGAATTTTTTAGCGTATCTCCAAATAATATATCAGTTTACAATATAACTTAAAACGGTGTGTGAAAATATTTCGTATACGATATTTCTCCTGTTTGGGAATATTTTTTAATACATATCTAAAAGGGCTATTTTAAATAATACCGATTGACTTTACAGCTGGAATTTATTCCTTTCCTACCTTAGTGCGAATTAAATATTATTATCTTACCAATTTTTGAATTAAGAACTATTTAAGCGGCACAAGCAATAAGCGTCTCAAAAAATGATTACAGATGTTAAATTGCCTGTATTAGGTTAGGTTGAAAATGAGTGGGATAGACACCAGTCGGGTGAGTTTGAAGATCTGCAACTTAGTTTTTGTACGTAGAATGTACTTTGTGGATTTGTCTTAAACGCTGTAGAATTGAGAGTCCGATGTTTGTTGCAGATCTATCCTTCTAATGTAGTTACCTAGATGACAATGTCCTGTCATCAGTCCCGTGAAAATGTGTACTTCATTCACGGATCCGAGCATAAATATTTGTAGAAGGGTTGGTAATAAACGCCTTTGAATGAGTTAGTCCTGGGGTATCTTTTCAGTTTATGAGTGTTGCACTCTCCGTTCATTTTGAGTTAATTTCTTTCACAATGCTCTCTTCAATGCCCAGAAATGGTTCTGTTTCTTTGAACTCAGATTCGGTTCCTCTTTTACCGAGCGTGTCAGCTTTTTTATTGCTCCACATCGCTGTGTCCCCGAACCCAGATCAAAATCACGTTATTCTTGCCTCCGAGACACTCACGGGTACTTACTATACAGGTTCAAACCAGCTTTGAGTCTATTCGATGGAGCTCAGGGTCTTGAGGACTGCTTGGCTATACGAAAAGATCTTTATAGAATTGTTAGTAGGGATAAACTCTTTTGCTCCCAACTCTATAGCAATCATTTCTGTTTGGAAGATCATGACTAAAGAGTCCAGGTTCATTGATACATATCGCTCCTACTTCTTTTCCAGTTTTAGAGACGGTATAGTACAGCGCATAGTCCACCTGGGAGAGGGTTTTATTCCGTCTATCTATGGAATGAAAACGATGTATAATTTTTTAATGTACTGTCAGGGAACTAGTGAATCTGGGACCATAACGAGAATATGGTAGTTATTATTCTCACTTATCAGCTCTGCCTTGTCCTATCGGAGTCTTCATTGCATTTACTACCCACCTTCAGAAGTCTATAGGAGACCATCCTGGTCCCCCTTTCCAGCAAAATGTGAAGAGAGAGGTTAGGTACAGCATGGTCTCCATGGCTCCCGGTGTGGTTAACATTGCCGCAGTGATGGCGAGGCACGTAAGCCAGCTTAGCTCTGGCCGTTCGTTGAATTCCCTTGTCCCACCAGACGATGGAGCTGTACGTAACCAAGTATTTTACCAAGGTTTGGTATATCCAGTAGATCAGTTGACATCTAATCACATATGCTTTTCCGCATATTCTTTTGAGGACTAAGAGGAATAACCTGACTTTGTTCATAAGTTTTTCCAATTTGGAGTTCCAGGTAGGTTTCTTGTCTAGGATAATACCCAGATATTCCACCTTCTCCACAAAATAAAAAGTTTGCCTGGCCAAAGTAGCTTGTCGAGCTTTTTTCTCTTGATGAAGGGGGTTGACAGATCTGCTCTCTCTCGCGCTATCTGTTGATCATATTAAGGACCTATTGAATAATGTAAGAGTTCACCTCTTCGTACTTCCCCCTAATTATAATAACACCCCCTGTCGAGGTTATCCACCAGAATGGTCCACAGTAGTGATAAAAGTACGCCGCTTTGTGGAAATCCTCTGGCAGGCCTGAAAATTATTCTATTCCCCTGCAGTGAGGAAATGAGATGTTCCGGTTTCCAAGCATGTTTCTGATCCAATACAGATCAGTTTGTCCTCTTATTTAAATAGAAGCAAACAGAGACTGAGGGAGGGCGTTATTGAACTTGCCTTCTATATCTGGGAAGGCACCCAGCGAAACCTCACTATGTAGAGAATGACCGATTTTGCCTACTAAATTGTGCAGAGCATGATTTGTCGTATTGCCTGCTTGGTAGGTATATTTGGATAAGTTTAACGGGCTTGCCCGAATATTTTCTTCTCTAATGTAATAAGCCTATCTAGAATTATCTCTAGAGTTCTCAAAAGAAAAGATGTTAGGTAGATTGTACTATAGGAGTTTGGTAGAAAGGTATCTACTATACTAGCCTTGTGTATGTATAGTCTTTCTAGACACAATCCAATACGGCATAATAATAACCGACTGGCGCCGACTTTAAAGAGATCCCGCACATGGGCGTACCATTTTTATTATTAAAATTAAATAAATTAAATTATTAATTGGGTATTTCTTTTATTATCAATTGCAGAATATAAAAACTCGTTCCGAACCCTTATCGACAATTTTGTTTGATCTGCCATAGGCGTGGATATCTCATTTTATAAATTTATTATTTTTATAAATACTTTTAAAAATATATCATATGCGAGAAAGTATTCGTTAAAAGGTAATAGAATCATTATAAATTGGATGACATAAGTTAAAAAAAATCATTATTCTAGCTCGTTAACTTGCTACAACTGAATATTAAATTATAAAACGTAAATAGACGAGTAAAATTTACCCGTCTGTAAGGGCGTTTGGTTTAAACAGGGTACCAGACGTGGACTGAGTCCTTCTTGTACCCCATTCATTTTTTTCTTCTGGAAAACGAAATTTCAAAGTAAAAACCATAAAGGAAAATAAATTCTTTGCAAATAAAACAAAACTATAAAATAATTTAGAAAAATAATTTTTTTAAAAGAAGTTTAAAAAAAGTCTCTCGGATTACTTATAATGAAAAATAAGAAAGTTAATCCGAATTTAAAACTGAACCATCTGTCGAGGAATCGAGGTTTGGATATATAATTTTAATAAATCGCGTGACCGCTCACTTTTGGACCTTACATCAACTGTAGGTGTGTTAATGTTAGCGCTTATTTGCAATGTGAGGCTATAGAATTCGTAGTATTCTCAGCGCTTATAATGCGAATTATTACGCACCCCTGGTACAACCGCCTGTGTTTGAGTATAGAAACACTATACACAACTTTCGACATCGTCCACCCTAGCGGGATATAGCTCCACGCCTGGCTTGCTCTAAACAGCCTCACAAGGGGAGGCTTCTGTCCTGCCCGTTTTCCTTATATCTTCAAATGGCATACCACTAGCATCGTGCAGAATGCACAGCCACCTTACAAATAGAATAGATTTACTTAAAAGTTACACTCTCTAGTACACTCGTATTTATGTACAATAAAATTATTGTTTAAACTTGTACGCATACCTTATTGTGTCAATTTTTCTAAATTCTTCATCAGAATTTTTATTAATTTATCAAAGAACATTCACTTTTAGTTTTTCTCTCTTCCACTATAAAAATTTTGTTACATGCCACTACTATAGCTACTGAATAGCTCGTTTGAAATAATATTTATTAACGCATTTTTTGCTGTCAATTATCAAAATAATTTAATTTTACTGTATTCTCTTCATATATTTTTTTTTTCTAAGAGTTTATAAGTTATATAGCTCAGTGCAATCGTCGAAGTTATGATTTATAAGTGAAAAAAAGCAACCCTAACGCTGCATTGATTTTTCATTTGAAGATTAAACCTTAGTCACTCCATATCAACCGAAAACAACAAATTTTTAATTAAAAACTAAAAAAGTACTCGTAAAGACAAAAAATTAATGTCTGGTGCAATGCAATTTTATTTCAAGAGAAAATTATTTCTGGAATAGTGCGCATTCAGTGGGCCATTTGAAGGTGGGGAGGTAGGAAGTATGTTAAAAAAATAGTGGGATGTGGTTCAAGTTGTAGTTTACCGTAGAAATCACACCCATTGATGAATGCACCACTCAGGTAAACTCAATGATCTGGAACCCAGTTTTTCCAAGTCCGAGCAGGTACTTGTGCATATTCCTTTTCCATACTGCTGGTTCAATTGTCCTATATTTGCTGCAGACTTATCCTTCTCATGTGGTTACCCAGATGGCAGGGTCTTGTCATTACTACCGTAAAAATGCATAGATCGTTTTAATTTAATTCCCAGTCCTAAGCAGAGGCGTTTAATGAAGGGTCCTAATGAGTTAGCCCTTAGGTTTTTCTGCAATACATGAGTGTTTCACCCTCTCTTCAATTTGAGAGAATTCCTTTGTCACTGATCTTTTCAATGGCAAAGAATGGTTCTGGTCCTATGAATTCAGTTTCGGTTCATATTTTAGCGAGCCAGTCAGATTTTCCATTAACCTTCACACTGCTGTGTTCCAAAACCCAGATCCAAGTAACTTGATACTTGAGGTATTTATACAGTTGTGAACCAGTTTTGGGTCAACTTGGTTATAGTTTAGGACTTTAATGGCTGTGTGGATATCAGAAAAAAATCTTCCTACTTTTGTTGGCAAGAGGAAGATTGATAAACTCTCTTGCTAAATAATAAAAACATTTCTTGTAACTTAATTCAGACTGCATCTGTTTGATAGTTAAATTATTTTTGTTACATACTAGACCCAGACTTCGTTTGCTTTAAGAATAGGCTAGGTACGTCATCAACATATTGGCTGAACACGCCTAACTACAGAAAATTAGGGGCGTATACAAAGTTTATTTAGTATATTGTAGACCAAAG